TTCGACATTCCTCGACATACTTAATCCCCTAATATACAATATTTAATAATTTACACTTTCGACAGACACTTAGATCTGACATACAGAGCAAGCATGCGCTTTTAACATTCTCATAATTTCTTTAACAACCTGACATACAATAATTTCACAATCACATTCTCATAATCTCTTTAACAACATGACATACTATAATTTCTTTAACAACCTGACATACTATAATTTCTTTAACAACCTGACATACTATAATTTCTTTAACAACCTGACTATAATTTCACAATCACATGCATGATCAATAAGCCATAACTTTCGACTTTCGAGCTTGTTTTTACAAGCAAACAAAATGTGGAGTTTTTGGACTTTTTAATTCAAACATTTTTGTTTGTCAATTGAATTTAAAAGTTTCATGACACCTTGTTTTTTTTACTTTAAGGGACTGAGTTTATAATTACACGAGAAGGAGATGATTTATTTTGTAAACTGTCCTGTTCTGTCGCCTAGTGTCTGTATGTGCATACTGTATGGTTAGCTCTGCATAAAAGTCTATCCTGTACTTCAAATGTACCGTAGTTTTCAGTGACGTAGCTTTAGCTAGTTGTGTGTTAGATTTACGTGCACTTAACCCAAACCCGGACATTATAACACCAGTTCAAAGAGCACAGAGTACTTAGATACATACCAGGTTATAATGCATGGAAAGTTATTTCAGAGGTGTACGCATCATTTGTACTGCAGTGTACTGTCTCCGGGCGGTAATGTAAAGACAAAGCGAATGTCATAGCCTGACATGGGATCCATCTTTCACATTAAAAATCAATTAAATATTCTGGTCATAGAAAACTATTATGTGAATTATCAAAATTTTTCAAAATTTAATGCTTTTATCCTCCTCGGATACTAAATGAACACTTTTCTTGTTTACAAACTCCGCCTAGAGAGAACTGGTTGCAATATGTACGCAGAGTATACGCAACTGCAATTAGCTTTCCTTGCATTATACCTTGGATACATACATATTATTTAGGAATTACTTATAATACGGTATTATCCACTAGTTTTACTAATACATAGTTTAAACCGCTAATAAACGGAGCCGAAGTGTATTATTTATTTACTTGGTCTTTACTTCTTTAAACTTTTTAAATACAAACTTCGTTTATTAAAGGGGATACTAGATACTCAGTAAAGAGTCATATTAGTTTTTCTTCTAACAGGACTGCTCTCAAATTTCAAAAGGAGTTTTTCTCAATTCTGTATGTAAGGATTAAAAATTCATTAACAACATATTAATTAATAAAAATAAGAAGTTTGATTCATGCATAAACGATAAAGAACTCAAATTAATAAAATCAAAATCATCATTTTGCAAATCTAAAAAATTAAATATTGTGCACAGTCCTTTAAATAGTGGAGTAAAGAGTAGAATACCGACAATTTTTGCCGAATATGTTTCAAGAGAATTTAACGAAGAAGAAAACAACATCGTAAACATTTAACCAGTAAAATTCATGAGTAATGCACTCTGCCAAACATTCTCACCTCTCCCCCCTCCCTTATCTCCCCCCTCCCACTCTTTCCTTCAACCCTTTCCCCTTATACCCCCTTTTTCTTGTTCCCCTCTTTCCATTTCTTCTTCTTTGGTTAAGTTTGTGTTATTTCTTCTGTGCTCTGTATTTCCTATTTCTCTGGTTTAAAGCCTAAATAACATTTTCTTCCCTCTCCCTTCCCATTTAGTTTACACTTCCGCTGTTTTTTCATTTTTCTTCTCGTATATTTTCTTCCCCTCTTCAATTTACCCCGAACCTCCTTCTGTTTACCCCAACTCCTCTTCAAATTCCCCCAAGCCCTCTTCCATTTACCCTAGACCCTCTTCCACTTACCAAAACCCCTCTTCCATTTACCCCAAATCCTCTTCCAATTACCCTCACCCTCTTCCATTTATCACAAATCCTCTTCCATTTAACCTAGACCCTCTTCCATTTACCCCAAACCCTCTTCCATTTACCCCGAACTTCCTTCTATTTACCACGAGCCCTCTTCCATTTATCCCAACCCCTCTTGAATTTACCCTAAACCCTCTTTCATTTACCGCAAACACTCTTCCATTTACCCTAAACTCTCTTCCATTTACCACAAACCCTCGTCCATTTACTCTAGACCCTCTTCCATTTACCCCAACCCCTTTTCAATATACCCTAAACCCTCTACCATTTACCCCAACCCCTCTTCAATTTACCCCGAACCTCCTTCAATTTACCCTAAACTCTCTTCCATTTACCCTAGACCCTCTTCCATTTACCCCAAACTTTCTTCTATTTACCACGAGCCCTCTTCCATTTACCCCAACCCCTCTTCCATTTACCCCAACCCCTCTTCCATTTACCCTAAGCTCTCCATTTACCTAAATCCTTCTTCAATTTCTCTCAACCCCTCTTCTATTTCACCTACCCCACTTCAATTTCCCCAACCCTTCTTCTATTTACCCCAAACCCCCTTCCCATTCACCCTAAAACTCTCTTCCATTTATCCCAAACCTGATTCAGATTCCTGTCCGTTTTGCATCCAACTCTTCTTTTTTAATTCTGTGTGTATCCTTCCTTCCTTCTATGATTCACTCTCCCCGACCGTTTTTATTTCATCTTAGCCTTTTCACTTCTTGTTTTCTCCCTTACTTATCCCATTTCTCATTTCTATACCTGATCATTGCTTCCTAAACATCTGTTATTTTCTTACCTTTCTTAGAAAAAATAAGCAAAAAATGGCGAACAAATTGTTTTATCATAAAAAAAAAAGAGTTTTAAAGCCTACAGTGAAGGTCACATTTTCCACTAAGCTTCAAAAAAATTTCCCCAACGACTAGTTGGGGGTGGGTGGGGGGGGTAATTCTTTAAAATAAATACCCCTAATAATAAGTTTACACAATACATATTTTGACCAAAGCTGTTTATTTATTTAAAGATACTTAAAATAGTGCACGCACGTTCCTTGTATGCAGTAAAAAGCACAATACAAATTTTCCTCCAACCATAAGAAACTTTTCCAGGTTGAATAAAAACCTTGATCTCCTCGCACAATGGAAGCATTCATACAACATTACATATAATACATCAGAGGTGCGGAGAATACGACTACATCAAATGTACATCACAGTTGTTCAAAAGTTGCACGCTCTCATGCAATAATCATGAGAATTTTGTTAATTACTTGTTAAAAAAAGCTAAAAATAATTGCTTTAATAATACAAAATCTACATCTCTTGGGATACAAAAAAGTATAAGTGAGTTTGTGAGGAAAAATCCTAGGCCAAGGCGTTGTGACACCTAAACGCTGACCCAGTCTTGAAAATTGATGCAACTTGGATCCTGGATCTGTGTGTACACTTTTTACACTTCTACATCCTTGTAATGAATCTGTTGTCATCTTTCGTAATATTTTAATATAATATATAAATATAATATAATATATATATATGTATATATACTATAATATATATATATAATATAATAATTTCGTAATATATTTAGAAATTTAATGACTGAAGTCGACTCCAAGTGATTCACAAGATGTTAGGTACTTTTCCAAAGGATTGTTCCCAAGTGGCAACTTCCCAAGGGCATTTTCCCAAATGACAACTTCCTAAATGTGCAATTTTCCTTGAGGCAACTTTCAAATTCTGTCCTAGCCGCAGCACTCGGCCTCCCCCCTGCCTGTTCTAGCCGCGGCGCCAGGCCACCTATCCTATCCTAGACGCAGCGCTCGGCCCCCATTGCAGGCTGCAGCATACGGCGTCTTAGAAGGCCTAACATAACCTTTGGAAAGTTGCCGCTTGGGAAATTGCACATTTGGGAAGTTGCCACTTGGGAAGTTACACTGGGGAAAATGCCTGTGGGAAAGTCTCAAAAACCGGTGACAATATTATCTTTTTATGATAGAAATATATTTATGATAGATATATAATGATGAAGATATTGTTGTTTTCCTTCTTCAAAAGATGACTGTTATCCTAATTTCCTTCTTTATGTCTGCTGCATAAACATTCAAGAGAACCCGAATTGAAAACGATCAATTATCAGAGAAAAAGTATGACGATTTCAACTAAAGTCTCTTAAATCTCGTTTTCATATTCTTATTATTTTGTTGACGTGAAATTGTTGGTTCGTTCAGGGGCAAACTTTGGAAAAGTGTAAGAAACCAAAATGTTTTAAGAATGTTTTTGTTTAAACATTGTTATTTCTTATATTTTGCCAAATTTTGACCTTTACAGAGAATATGTGCAAAAAACGAACCAAAACGATTTTATAAAAGCCAACTTTAACACAATACAGTTTTGAAATCTTGTAAGTTTTATTAAAAGTTTAAAGAAACAAACTGAAGCGATTAACAACAATATCCGGCCACATAGTGCCAAGCTCTCATCCAAAAATCGAGGTTAACCTTATCACCTTTTAAACTTACATAAAAAGGTAAAGTGAGTTGGTAAGATAAAAATCTAGAAACCAAGTTGTTACGACAATTTAAAGTGGACCCAGTCTTGAAAATTGTGCTGCAGCCTCTAAACCCTTCCTAAAATGCATTTGCATCTATTTAACACATATCTGCTTTCATGTTTAAACATTTCAAACTTATAAAAATTCTTTGCATGCATTTATCTAGCCTTGGCTTGCAACCTAGTACAGGTATAAACTATTTATTTAAAAAGATGAATTCTAAATATAAATATAAATATTAAAAAGTTACACTAGAATTAAACTACACTAATCACAATTAACGAATTAACAGAAGAATTCATAATCACAGGGAAAACATTGACAGGGTGTTTCTTTGTATATAACATAAACATAATATAAGGTCACCCTGTAGGATAACTGCATACAACGGCGCAGGAATAAGAGAATGGGGGGGGGGGAATATCAAAACTTTTGAATTTCTTTTTATAATACCGGAATCTTTATTTTGTAGAAAACAATTATTTTTATTCATATTTTCATTTGTAAACATGTAGGGGTTCTTTTTAGAAACATTTGAAAAGGGGCATTGGTAAATAGGAATAGGAATAGGAATTGGTAAATAGGAATTAATGTCGATTCCTACTTTTTGGATTGATTACTAAACAAAACAAATAACATATGTATAACAGGCACCATTTAAACAGTTTTATTTTTCACTAGATTCCATTTTGACTCGACAATGACACTCTTTATACTATAGGGGGCTAAACGGATAGTGTTGATAAGGGGGTGAGGGTTAAAAAGGGTTATGTTTGAGTGTGTGTGTGTGGGGGGGGACTATTCATCACAGAGAACTAAATCTGTAACGCTTATATGTGGATGGGGAAGGGGGTGGAGGTAATTTCGTTCCGCTATATTTACTATGAATAGGTTCGGTAGTGTTTCTGTTTTCTAATCTGAGCTAGAAGTGGTAGCATGCTTGTATCCCGTGGATTCACATTCATTCAAACCCTTTCTTGTCTCGACTCTTCACTCTTCTTGTCCATCCTGACTGTCAGATCCATAGGAGTCTCACCACTTACTCCTCTCCGCTCAACCTTAGTCTCAACCTCACTCCGGGATATCAGGTTATCCACACTGTGCTCTGGACGGTACCCGGAGAAACCAAGCAGTCCTGGCTGCTTTTTCAGAGCAGCATACGTTTCCAGCAGGGTTTGATGCTCCTTTAGGAGATCTAAATGAGACTGTTCCTTCTCCTTTTGAATTTCAGGAGGTGATTTTTGTCCGGCCATTGAGAACAGGAGAGAGTTAGCAAGGAAGGGGTTTCCTGCTAGAAGAGGGGAGAGTCTGTAGAAGGGGAAGGGGTGGGATGAGAGGAAGGGAAGGGGAGGAGGGAAACCGTATAGCGCTGGAAGGCTGGTGGGGGTTGGGATAAGTGGGAATGGATAATCACTCCGTGGAGATATATCAGATATCTTCCTCGGAGATAAACTAGATATAGGACTTGGACTAGACTTATCAGAGTTCAAGGAGATATGGAGAGGAGACGGGCTCCGGGAGGGTCGAGATATCTCCGTCTTTATCGGAGACAGGAGAGGGCTGGATGTGGGGGGCCAGGAGATGGTTGGGGGCAGGGACCGTTCAGCAATATGGTTCGGAGGGGAGGGTAGGCGGGGAGGGGGAGGAGGAGGAGGGTGGGAGATGGATCCTGATTTTCCCATATTTTGTTGCATCAAACAATGGATTTTAAACCAGTTGGATCTCCGACCATACCTGAACATGACAGCTGGGTAATCAAGATATTTATTGATTGACATTTTCAGATATTTTAAAAAATAAACATTAGAAATATTTTAGAATATATTTTCAAAAGGAATGTAAATATCCTGAATTAGGAGCTAAAAAGTGTAATTGTTAAAGTAAAAGAACACACCTTGATCCAGACTTTGACATGCCGACCATGAGACACTTCCTGAGCCGACATGCCTTGCATGCCGTCCTGTTCTTCTTATCCACTACACACCTGTAGCTGTTCTTACATTCCTAAACATAACAGACTATGGTGATTTCTTATTAAATGGGCCATAGACATTGGACCCCCCCCCCTTCTCTTTAGAAAAATATCAACTTCCCGTGACTAATTATTTATATGAACCAAAGCTATCTTGGAACAGTCTAATCACAAGAGGTTGTAATTTTCAGACGGGGGGGGGGGGGGGGGGGGGGAGGGGTTCTAGTAGAACAAGGAAAAGACATTTCCAAAATATTTATCAGGAAATAAATTCAAAATGTTAGCATAAAGCCTGATTAAAATTATTTGCCGCACAAAAAATGCAAAATAACCCATTTATGCAAAATTAGGACCAACATTTTAGAAGAAAAAATTACCTGAATAACAGATTGATTGTTACATGTTCTTCCGAAGAAGGATTTACATCCCTCGCAGGTGAAAGCTCCAAAATGGAATCCTGCCGCAGGTTCTTCGCATACACGGCACAGCTGGTTCTGTAGGGGGTCAATCTGATCGACCTGGAAATGATTTAAATTTAAAAGAACTGTAGACGTAATTCTTATTTTTACGATCCCATGGTACCCTTAATAGCTTTTACTAATCAAGAATGAATGAAATATGATTTTTTCTACTTGAAAATTAATTTAATTGATTGTGGCTTCTTTTTAAAAGTGACTTGCAAGAATTAAACTTAAATATTTATATTCTAGAAGTGGTAGAATATAGATGAATATTATGCTGGGTTTTTCAGGAATAGATGTGACGTTGTTATCAATGTTTAAAAATATATAAAAAGAAAACTAAAGCTTGCTTCTTTAAAATGTCTAAATTTCAATTAAGTATGTATACACTTAAAAATATACATTGATTATTAGATAGAAAGATACATACATAATCAGATATATATTGTGAGACTGCAGGGATAGTTTAGACTATGATTCCATATTGACCTACTGATCTTACAAATTGATAGATAATGGTTGTAGATAGATCGATAGATAAACAAATAGATAGATTGATAGATTATAAATTATCAGATAATGCTACGATATCTATCTATGATACGTTGATAAATGGATAAATTCATTTAACGTAGAAAATATCTGGAGAAACGTGGTGTCTGTCCTAGAGAACGATTTCTGGACCCCCCCCCCCCCATCCCTCTCATATCAATTTTGTATGTGGAAATTTTTTTTCAGAAAAATTATTATTATTTATTATTTATTAATTTAGGTTTAGGTTAGGCAAAGACAATTTCTGGACTGAGCGCTGCGGCTAGGACAGTCTAGAGGGCCGAGCGCTGCGGCAAGGACAGGCTAGGGGGCCGAGTGCTGCGGCCACATGACCAACTTTATCCATGTGTTACATGTGAGATCCATGTACAAAATTGATAGGAGGGGGGTGGGGGGGTTTTCCAAAAATCGTTCGCTAGAAAATACCGAAACGTGGGAAACTTTAAAGTTTAACGGTGTAATTTGATGTTTTAAACAAAATGATAATTATCGATTTATGATTAAATTTAGCACAGTGCATTTTTTAATATATTTTTTTGATCTTTAAATTTTGAGAAGTCCTTAAAAATGATTACACTAATTTAAAAAAAGGTGATAGCATAAAATCATAATTTTTTAAATCAGTTTAGACTTTTGAGCAAAAGGTTAATTATGATTTCCCCCCGCAAATATCAAATTCTTAAACTATATAGATTATATAGATGGTTTATGCTCCAATAAAATCCTTTAATCTATTCCCATCAATGATTTTTTACTTCAAAATTGCGATAAAGGAGTTTTAAATAATTCTGAGATTCTATCAAGGTTTTCTGAGATGTAATAATTTTCAGATTCTAACAAAGTTTCCTGTAAATATATCAAAATTTTTAAAAGTCTATCAACATTTCTGAGAGTCTATCAAAGTTCCTGAGAGTCTTAAGATCTTCTTCTTTCATAGTTTTTGAGAGTATATAAAAGTTTTCTAAGAGTCTATCAATGTTTTCTGGAAGTCTGTCAAATTTTCTGAGTCTATCAAAGTTCTTTGAGAGTACATCAAAGTTTCTGAGAGTCTATTTAATTTTTATAAGTCGTTTAATATTTTCTGAGAGTCTACATACAAGATTTCAGAGATTCTATTAAAGTTTCAGAGATTCTACTAAAGTTTTAGAGATTCTATCAAAGTTTCAGAGATTCTACTAAAGTTTTAGAGATTCTATCAAAGTTTCAGAGATTCTATCTAAGTTTCTGAGATTCTATCTAAGTTTCTGAGAGCCGTTTAAAATTTCTGAGTTTTCTGAGATTTTAATAAATCGAAACTTTAAATGCGATCCGAGTTTTCTTTGGTAATTTTCGATAGTTCGAAAACAACGATAGGATTTATTCTAACTGTTACGGCTATTAGAAATGATGAACGGTGTAGAATACTGTTGATCATATTTAAATTGATGTGAAAGCGTTCTAAAGCTATGTTAAGTGAAGTGTGTCTGAGATGAATTAATGAATTTAACCACCACTTCTTCTAGGTTTCATATCCTGGGTAGATAATCAAACTTTTTTATTTCAGTCTCTTTGGGTAATAATATCTTAATTATATTCTGTATTAACTGCTGAGAACTTTTAAGATGAGAATAATTTTAATTGCAACAAATAATTTTACAATTAATAAATCCCTCAAACATGGCAAACAAAATAAAACATTAAAAAAAATTAAAAAAAATACGATGAAAAATAATTCCATTAAAGATGTGAGTGGGACTTGAAATCGTTTAAATTTAGCTCCTTTATTTGAATCTGTTAAATATTAACACATAATATTATCTAACCTTATCCGGGAAGGTTGAGGAGAGTTTAGGTTCTCCGAAGGATTGAGAAGAAAAGTATCCTGATCCAGGGGTGGAAAACATACTTGCTCCGATACCTAGAGTCATAGAGAATTCTCTTCTCCAAACAAGGTTGGTTTAAAGAGCAGTGAAGTCTTGTAAATTTATTCGTATATCTACATGCTCTCGCAGAACTGTTCTAATAACAACACCAGGTGATGATGAAGGTTTACTAAGTAAGCCAACTCCAAATTTGGAAGCTCGTTTATTTTGATGATTTTCAGCTCTTCACTATTTCAATGTCAATCTTTTATCTGGTCCCTGGGCTCCTTACAAAGGGGTTGCTGTTGTCGAAGGGATGAGGCGGGAGGGGGGTGTATGGTAGAGAACTAGAGGTGAACGGATGCTGCAGAAAATCTCTCGGTTTGTAATGTACTGTAGAGTAGATCACATACTGATCCCTATGATCTTCTTCAATATTAGCGGCGAGCAGAGCCTGGGCCGCTAAAACAGCGGTTCCTCTAGTTTTCTGGGCGCTGGCTCCACTCCTCTAGATCTAGGAGCGCGCGAGGAGATTACGGGCTCTAGATCTGAGAGCGCGCGAGCAGATCACCCGGTTACACTAGATATTCTTCCTTCCGGACACAGCACCAGAGATTTCGACGGTAAAAGAGACCTGAACGAGTGACTACGCGGTATCGTAGAAAATCGCGCAACCTCGAACCAACCTCTGCTTTTCTTCTTCATTATTTTTCAATCGTAACTCACAGGACATTTAGGAACGAATTTAACGATTTTGTGTATTTTTAAGATCTGCACAAACATTTGTTCCCCCATTGCACTTTGAAACATAAAGGCACACATCAGCATACAGCTAGTACATAGCGAACAATAATATATACTAACTAAACATCAGCATACAGCTAGTACATAGTGAACAATAATATATACTAACTAAACATCAGCATACAGCTAGTACATAGCGAACAATAATATATACTAACTAAAGTTAAACACAAGGTACAAAATATTTTATTTTTGACTGAGGTATTTATCAAAAGAACTGAATACTCGCCATAAACTCTAATTTTCAACCTGATGTCGTACTCGTCACGTTACTTTCATTAGAAGAAGATGTACTGGTGTACTGTACCGTACCATTTTGACGTTTATAGTCTTTATCTTTACTGTACAACTTTATAGTTAGTCTGGTACTTCAAATGAACCGAAGTTTTCAGTGTTGTAGACCTTTATTATTTAAAACTAAGAATTCTATTAGATTAAATAGTCCTAGTTGAGATTTACAGTTTGCAAAAATATAGAAATTAGAAAATTAGAACTGGTGGCAAGTGTTCAGCCCATAAAGTTTAACTGCCAAATCCAGCATAATTTGGCTCACCCTGTAAATCTGGAAGAGCCCTCTTATAGTCGTTGAAAGACCCAGGAATCGTGATAAACCAGCTCTGATGTGAATGTATAGGGTTGAATCATGTAGATTCTATAGGATACTAGTCCTCCCTGAATACCTAGGTTATTACTCGATCCACCTTTATTGGTGAATATCTACAGCTAGCTACTAGTACTAAACCAACACTATAATATACCATTATACACTCACATATTCATACATAACATTATGCTAAATGCAGATATACTTTACCGCACAATCAAACCAAGACATCTTAGAAAAACAAAACGAAAAAATATGATCGATGTCGTGAATTAGAAATGAAAGTTTTTATAGTTAAAAGTACTATCCGCCCTGTTACTTGCTTTCAAATTTCATATCTTATTTTTGTATATGGAGAATAAAATTTGGTATGCAAAAAATAAGAGAAAATAATGTTCTAACAACTTGCCGAGATCAAATGTCTTCGACATCAGGTTGCATAAATATAAAGATTAGAAAATTAGAGTTTGTCAGAAGTAATCAGGTTAAAAAATTGAGGAAAAAATAGGAGAAACGACCGAAAAGGAATAAAAAAGAACATAAAAATAAATAAAAAAATAAAGAAACTGATGATAAAAAGGAGATATTCGAAGATGAAAGGGAAAAAGGCAAGTCTAGATCAAAAAGAAAAAGGGATGGATGAAAGAAATAGAAAAAAGAAAGGAATTAATAATGGAAAAAGAAAAAGAAAGAATGGCATCAACAAGAACGAAAAGAAGTCGGAACAAAAACTAGAAAGAAATGGAAAATGGAAAAACAACAGAAAATAATTTGAGAAGTTAAAAAGCGAAAGAAGAATTAAAAGATCAAATAATTTAATAATTTTTAACGTTTAAATATAAATTTTGGTTTAAAAAAGTGTTGAAGGGAGTGAATCAATTTCTACACCCCTACTCTTCTATAGAGAGAAGAATTTTTATTTGATATTGGAGATGATATTATCTAGAAACTATCTATCTATCATCTATCTATCATCTATCTTCATATTATCGTTTGAAATCTATTTATTGATTGGAAACCTGAAGGAAATTATTACTTTTATCTCGATTAAATACTTGAGTATAATTTACAATGCTTGTATGCATGAGTTTTCCATTATATTTACAACCTGTATAAAATTTTAACCAATTAAAATGCATTTATGGATATGGTTGAGAATAGATTAAGTTCATGGGGACTTTAAAGGGACTTAAGAGGCTTGCAATTACTTCTACAGTCCCTTAAACTCTATACCGGTTGGGAAATTATGATACGATGATATGATTTTGCCAAAGAGAATAGAATATATATTAGAGTGGAATCCCTCGGTATGAATTTTTTCAGTCCCTTTCAGCCTGAAAGGGAGTTCAAAGTGTACAAATCATGTAAATGTTCACAAATTATATGCATTAGAGTACATTAATACAGTATGTTCCCTAGACTATCCAGTTTAATTTCAAAATTTTTAAAGCTGTTAAATAAACTTCATAATGATTTAGGTGAATAAAAAACAATATTTGATTTATAGTTATAACGGAAAATCATCGTTTATAAAGTAAAAGGCATAGAGTCTATGTGAAATGATCATTGGTCAATTATGAAACCAGCCTTTTTCATAATTTGGTTTTCTCTTAATTTTAATTTTAGATTTTCTATAAAATGATGGTCCAAGGCCCAAAAGGTTATATAGCGCAAATGTGTGAAGTACACTTGCAGTATGGAAATAGTACATCGAAAATGGCCGTTTTACACTTTTTTCTAGTAAATTCTACTCTAATATATATTCTATACTCTTTGGATTTTGTCCTTAAAGTTGAGATAGTGGAGTGTGATCCAACTTTTCAAGGCTTGCTCATGAAAAAAAACCTCCAACTTTAATGGCTTGGATGCTTGGGACAAAAATTTAAGATCTGTAGCTTTACTAATGAAAAAGTTATTCACTATTTTGACTATTTTGGAACACTGACTAACAGTTTGACCGCCAACTACCCTACAATATGCATACAAAAATGTTATTGCTAAATTTGTTAAAACTTATGAAGTTAAAAAAAATCAAAGAAGCGTTCTAGTGTAAGTCGCTTTAAAGTTAATTAGTACGAATAAACCCCCGGCTCCCCTCAACTTGGTAGGGTTAACAACTACCATTGGATCAACTTGGTAGGGTTAACAACTACCATTGGATCAACTTGGTAGGGTTAACAACTACCATTGGATCAACTTGGTAGGGTTAACAACTACCATTGGATCAACTTGGTAGGGTTAACAACTACCATTAGATCAACTTGGTAGGGTTAACAACTACCATTGGATCAACTTGGTAGGGTTAACAACTACCATTGGATCAACTTCGGAGCATTTGACCAAGTGTCTGTATTGATTTATTAATTTACTTAAACTTTGAGATCAAAGTCTATTATTAATTCAACTATAAAGGAATTGAGTTTTTGCCACAAACTCTGATTTTCTAATTTCAATATCGTTGCAACCCAATGTCGTAGATCTTTAATATAATAACTATGAAATCTGTTAGATCAAATAATGTAAGTTTGAAATATCAAAGGTTTTACAAAAACTGAATTTGCGGCAAAGACTTAATTCCTTTATTAATGTTTAAGTCCTAATTGTAAAGTTAATTTTTAAGGTCAACTACAATTTTATGAGAATGTAAAAAAATTAATTAATGTCTAAATACAAAAATGTGGATGAATAGTTCAACAAAAATCTTTGCTAATGAAATCCAAGATGAAGTTTTTAAAGTACCTAACTTGTAAATACCTTAAATTCTCATCTTATTTTCGAACCATACTACCACCAGTGATCCCACCCTTCTTACGTTTAGTAAACATTGTAAACTTATTCATTAAATATTTATCTCTACTCATCTCTTTTCCTCTCTACATATTCACTTATTAATTTTCTATTTTTATTTTTTAATTAATCCCAAAAATTTGTACACATTCACCCAATCACTTTCTATTTATTTATCAATCCTACTCATATATACAAAAATACAGCTATTCATTTTCTATTCATTTATTCATCTTACTCATATGTAACTGTTAATTTTATATTCATTTTTACATCATTCTTATCCCTTTCATACACCTATTTATTTCTAATTGCATTTTACTCAATAACCAAATACTTTTATGAAAATCCTTTTTTTAAAATTAATTTTCACCCTTTACATAGTTCAAGCTGGAAGCAAGGTATGATTTGTTTTAGACTTTAATTAGCCTGAGAAAATAAAATGGCAATAATTTTCGCAGGTTGAATGGGGTCAGACGGGGGGGTACACCATATTCTAAACTTGGTCTACTACACTATATTCTAAGCTTGATCTGCTACACCATATTCTAAACTGGGTCTGCTACACCATATTCTAAACTGGGTCTGCTACACCATATTCTAAGCTTGGTCTGCTATACCATATTCTAAACTGGGTCTGCTACACCATATTCTAAACTTGATCTACTACACCATATTCTAAAATGGGTCTGCTACACCATATTCTAAGCTTGGTCTGCTACACCATATTCTAAATTGGGTCTGCTGCACCATATTCTAAACTGAGTATTGTATATGAAGGTATTCTAAAAGCAATTGATCCTTTGATCAAAGGGGAGAACCATAGTTCACAAATTATGTAGATTTAAAGCTCAAGCGTGCTTTGCATATTGCGGATCATCCAATCAAAATTTGCAATTATTTTGCACGATACACCAATTTGTATAACAGAGTATGGCGTTATTGTTTAGTTTAGTTTAGTTTAGTTTACAAAATACAAGAAAGATACAGTAAGGTCTACATTACACTGTACAATATATAAGAAAGATACAGTTATAAGATCTACAATACACTGTACAATATACAAGAAAGATACAGTAAGGTCTACATTACACTGTTCAATATACAAGAAAGATACTGTAAGGTCAACATTACACTGTACAATATACAAGAAAGATACTGTAAGGTCAACATTACACTGTACAATATACAAGAAAGATACTGTAAGGTCAACATTACACTTTACAATATACAAGAAAGATACTGTAAGGTCAACATT